AGTCTCCGAAGGTAATGCTAAAGCTCCCTGGTTCTCCATTATCTGCAACAGAATTACTCCACTTCCATCTTTTGTTCTCATCAAATATTACTTCTCGGCTTACTATAATTTTCATGCAGGTTGGATCAAACATTCTGTAAGCTTTCGAGCCAGGTTCCGTACCAAGATGCACCAAGGTTCTTGATCTATCATCCAGTTTCCGTAAATGATGAGTATCAATCTTTGTGTAGCCGATACATCCGAACACTCTCAGATGCTTTACATTCGGTTTTCTCCCTTTTAAAACTTCATACGGTGTCTGTGCTTCCAATGTCCTTGTTCCTACCCTGTTGATAAGGTACGTAGCATGCCTTATAGCTTCTCCCCATAGGTAATTTGGTACTTCCATGTGCTTGAGAATGCTCCTCGTCATCTCCATCAATGTTATATTCCTCCTCTCCACTACACCGTTCTGTTGTGGTGTGTAGGGAGCTGTCAAGTGTCTTTGAATTCCAGATTCTTCGCAGAAATTGTGAAACTCTGTTGAGGTAAACTCACCCCCTCTATCTGTGCGCAGTGTCTTGATTTTCTTCTTCACTTGTAGCTCCACCGTTGCTTTGAATAATTTGAACTTCTCAAACGCATCACCTTTTTCTTTTAAGAGTATTGTCCACATGTATCTCGTATGGTCATCTATTAGAACAAATATATATCTGTTCTTTGCTGGTGTTGTGGGTGTAATAGGACCACATAAGTCACCGTGGACCAATTCTAATGGTTCCTTTGCTCGGAATAAGGTTGCTTTTGGAAATACTTGTCTAGAGTGCTTCCCAAGTAAGCATGCTTCACACGTCTCCTTCTCAACATTGATGTTTGGAATGCCAAGTACGAGTTCCTTCTTCACCATCTGTCTCATGTTCTCGGTTCCAATGTGACCAAGTCTTGCGTGCCATCTTACTGACTCATTAGTAATACCAAGCTTCAAACACTTCTCACTAACTATGTCCATAAGGACTTTATATAACCTGTTTCTTGAACGACTTGCTCGTGCAACTAGCTTCCCATCCTTATCATGTAAGGTGAGCATATCTCCTTTCATGTTTACCTCACATCCAGATTCAGTAGCTTGACCCAAGCTAATAATGTTGCTCCTCAAAGCTGGTATGAAATACACATCGGCAAGTAACTTCTTTTCACCATCTTGACTGATGAATAAAATAGATCCTTTTCCTTTAATGTCGATTCTTGAGTCATCTCCGAATCTGACTTTGCCCGTTACTGTCTCATCAATCTGTTTAAAGTAGTCTAGGTTACCTGTCATATGATTACTAGCTCCATTATCAAGGTACCATATTCTGTCTCCATCCAAATTTGACTCAAACTCTTTAGGCTTTACATTTTTCTCATTAAGATTTACTACTTCATGCATCATCAAACCATCTGCCTCATGTGTGTCGTCCTCCCTTTCTTCTTGTGTTTCTTGCAGCTTCAACAAGCGATCCGGACATGTAGCAGCGAAGTGTCCTACCTTATCACATCTGAAACAAACAACTCTGGATGCGTCTCTGCTATCCCAATAGGAAGTACGACCACGTCCTCGTCCTCTGTTGTTGTATCTTCCCCCTCGACCTCTACCTCTGCTTTCTCCTTGATACTCACGGTTTGGTTGACTCTCCATGTTAGCATACATGAGTTTGGTTTGTTCGTTCGCATGTGCCTCTGCCTCTGCTGCGTTTATTCTTTCTTCGTACGCTTTTAGACGTCCCACCATATCTTCAAAGTTGCAAGTGTCTAGATCAAGAAGTTGTTCTATTGATGCAACTATGTGAACATATTTCTTGGTTGGTAGAGCCCCAAGGAATTTCTTGACTAGTGTTGCTTCATCAATAATTTTCCCTAATGCAGCAGATTTTGAACTAATCTCGAGTAGTTTCCCAACAAACTCATCAACAGTCTCATTATCTTTCATCTTGAGTCTATCAAGATCCGTAACTAGGGTTTGTAATCTCGCTACCCTCACCCTATAGCTCCAACATGTCGAACTTTTACAGCATCCCATATCTTCTTTGCAGTGTCTAATCCTCCTACTTGGAGTATCATGGCCTCTGGAATAGCAGAGTACAGAAGTGCTGTAGCTTTAATATTCTTTTCAACGTTGGTTGTCTCATCTTCAACAGCTTCCCAGACCTTGTGAAGTTTAAGCATTATCTTCATCCTTATCTCCCACACCGTATAATTAGTTGTAGTCAACATAGGACACTTTATCGAAGAAGAACTTTCTTCCTTTGGATTGTCGGTTGCTGTGATAATATCTCCCATGGCTCTTGATTATCCTTGCTCTGATACCAATTCTTGTCTTAAACTCAAACAACGCACAAGTAAAGAAACTCTTCTTTATTAAATCTCTCTTAAGGAAATACTCAAAAACCTTAAGCTCAAAACACAATCTCAAAAGCTCTAATGGTATGCAACACTCTTGCACCTCATTATATAGTTATCATAATTCCTAAACTCAAGGAACTATGTTTATCCTAATCCTAATACTCTTAGGATTAACATTACTTGCTGTCGAAGTTATCTACAAGATTATTTCCAACATCTTGTTCTCTATAATCATAAGCAGCGTTTGGGTGTGTTTTTTGGTTTTGCTTAGAGTATTTTTTGAGTTTATTTTCAATTAAGAAACAGGCTAAATTACATAGTCATGGATGAGGCTTATGTACAGGTTTAGTTTCCCGAGAAGAAAGTAAATCTTCAGTTTTATTTTCTTCTATGAAAGTTCATACACAAAATCAACCCATTTGGAAATAGATTTTTCAATTTATGACATCCTCACATATATAATGGGCAACGGTGAAGATTGTAGTTCAGAGGAAACGAACAAAAAACACAGCTAACAATCTAAGTAATCCACAGAAACTAAATCGTTACGCTAGCTAGGTACGTACAATTATTTTTATGTTATTATCCCTTTTTTTTTTACATTTTCATGTTGTGAAATAGTATATTTAAAGTTTGCAATTCGTTTTTCTGTTAGCCTTTTTGTGATTTAAAGCTATGTTAAAATTGTGTGGATATTTGAGTTTCCTTCCACGGACCCACGTCCAATTTGGATGTGTTGAAGATTTTTTCATCAGATGTTGTCCATACAAAATTTTCGTACATAAGAAAAAAGTGACCTAGCTACTAGCATTTTCGTAAAATCTGATGGTCAGAAAAAAGGAAGGAGTCATATAGATCACCGTATGATTTGACCAAAAAAAGAAATCAGCGTATGATAGGGATACGATCCACATTAAGTTTTATATTTATGTACTTTTATAGTGGGATTTAGTGATTTACTAACATTTAAGCCATTGTGTCGTATATTAAAAAAAAAATAAAAAATGGAAAACAAAAATAGTCTTAGTCATAAACTTGGTCAAAATAACATAATTATCAAGATTTTATATTCTTTTGGTGAAATGTATTTAACTTTCATATCTATTTGAGATAATAAAAATAATGACAAAAGTGAATATCTTTAAATTTATTTCCTTGATAGTAAATATCTTTGACTATTTTGTAATTTAAACTTGTATTATCTAATAATAGCAAACTTGATAGTAAATTTATTTAACTTTTATACCCATTTGAGATACTAATAATAATTAAGTTATTTTACACCCAATACTTTTCTTAATAAATTTCGATTCTTTTTGTTGAGAACCATCTTGACGTTGTGATTAAATAGTCTTGTTTTCCTGGCTGCATTGTCAATAATCCAGATTCACAGATCAACTATTGACTGGTTAGTGACGTTATGGTTCATTTTTGGTATAGATATGATAGAGAGATGTAGTTGAGGAAAGATTTGTTGGTATTATTCATCAATTTGATTTTTTCTCATTGAAAAAGACATTTCTGTTAAACATGATAATATATAAAAAATAAACCCGTGTAGACATTTCTGTTAAGCATTTGGCCAACAACTTGTTAAAAGTCTTTGCATATCTCTTCTTTATTGTATGTGTTTCGATACGGTTTATCGATTTTATATTTTATATGCTTTCCCTAACTCCAAATCAACTACCCATGTAGCCGCATAACAACTTTTTTGCTTAAAGCATCAGCATTCTCTATATTCCTTCTCCTGTTCGTGTGCATTATATACATCTTTAAATTACATGGGCTTTTATATGGGCATCACGTCGCATACGATACGTATTCAAGATAATAAGCATGAGATAAGTTTAGGTATCCAAAGCTAGTTGTATATATTCTGTCTTTAACCGCATGTTTTAAACTATATAGAGTTCTCGAAGATATGTTTTTCTAAAATAAATAATCGTATATATCTCTCTCAACCACAGGAAACTTTATATAATGAATAATGAAAAAAGTGGTGTCACCGTCAAGAAGCCGAACCACTTTCTAGTGAATTGGATGTCATGTTATGATTAGGTTTGTAGTTTCCTTAGAAATCTACCGAGTAGGTTAAGTATTGTTGGGGAAAAGAAAAAAAAACAAGAAGGATTACTGGGAGTCTAGGAGTGGTTACCTTTCACGAATCTTAGCACATGAGCACTAATGTGTAATAATACGTTAACAAATGTATATGTATATATATATACATCATATTATATACAGTTATCAATAAAGTCTTAAAATGAATTCTTGTTATATATGAAAAAAAAAAATTCTTTGTTTATAGCAGAAGAAAAGTCTTTTGTTGTTGCCTTAACTACTTAACTTACTTTCCCTCTTTTTCCCTCCCTTTTTCTGATTTTCATTTTCTCTTAGTTCACATGTACCTTTGTGTTACCTCTTGTCTTTTGTCTTTGTCCTACTTCAAAGGTTTTGTATGGGTAAATAGATTCTTATTAGAACACAACCTATATAATGTTTGTAACTTGTCACAAACATAAAACGACTCTTCTTCTAATTCTTCCTTGCCTCGTCTCTACAACTCTTCACATGTCTGATTATCTTTGTGGACAGCATTTCGAGAAAGCTCCAAGACAAAACCCGCTGATTTGATCATGTTTATGCTGTCTTCACATGTTTACCAGCTCGTGACCACCATAGGTACGCGTGTATCAGGAAAAAAAAAACATCATTACAATTCTTTTTGGAATTAAATAATCAACCTTTTGCTTTTTTTTTTTTAACATGATATGTACTTAACTCCTAATGAAACGTTACCATGTGTGTGTACGTGTTTGGTGACAAAAAGGTTACCGGAGACACTTATTGAGACAGGGAGGATGGATCATTGCTTTGATCATGTTCTTGTCTTTGTTTGAAACTGCAATCTCCCAAAATCAAAGTTCTGATCCAAAATCAACACAAGTCCTGCAGTTACATTACCAAAAAGGACATGTATGTTGTATATCTATATGTTCTTTTCCACTAATCAAATATACTTCATTAGCTTTTAGTTGACAATTAGAGACACCCATTTGAAATAACAAAATTGTATCTAACTTTCTTCATTAGCTCTTAATAATCTAGCTTCCTTGATGTGCAAGTCACCTAGAGCGTTAAGAAACCTAATCTATATGGTTAATTACAGGTGGTGGTGGACAATGGAATTTTTCAATTAACTTTGTCAAATCCTGAGGGATTTGTAACCGGAATCCGGTACAATGGTATCGAAAATGTACTTGCATACACCGGCACTGAACATGATAGAGGGTAAGTCTATGTAAATGCATATGTATGTGACTCATTGACAGCCCTAATTTGAGTGTTTAAACTCAATAATATTTAAATTCAATTGTTCTGGTTAATGCAGTTACTGGGACTTAGTGTGGAACTATCCAGGGAAAAAAATTAAGAAGTCCAAAGGCACATTAGACCGGTAGATAACCTCTGTTGATAGTTACATAATATAGCAATAATTCTCCAATGTAAAACTTACTAGGACTAGTTAACAGGATTGAAGCAACAAAGATGGAAGTGATAACGCAGAACGATGAAAAGATAGAGATATCCTTTTCAAGGACATGGAATGCTTCTTCAACATTGGCTGTTCCTGTGAATATAGACAAGAGGTAGTTATATTACTAAATAAAAATCTTTTAGTATTTTGTAACCAAGATTCATGGAATTTGAGTTTATTTTCAGGTTTGTAATACTACAAAACTCGTCCGGATTCTACAGTTACGCCATATTCGAGAGGCTTAAAGGGTGGCCTGCGGTTGAACTTGATAATATTCGATTAGTATTTAAGCTAAACCAAGACAAGTAAATGATTATTTTCTTCATATATAATAGAAATGCATGTTGTTATGTTAGTGGTTAATTATAAGTTTATAACTATATTCCACTTGTTATTTTGTGTAGGTTTCATTACATGGCGATTTCAGATGAGAGACAAAGGTACATGCCTTTACCAGATGATCGTATTCCACCTCGAGGTAAACCTCTTGCTTACCCCGAGGCCGTTCAGCTTCTAGACCCTATCGAGCCCGAGCTTAAAGGAGAGGTAAAAAAAACTCATCTCAGCTTATATAAAAACAGAGGAAACAGAGGATCATTAATCTTGGTTACTAAAATTACAGGTGGATGATAAGTATGAGTACTCAATGGAGAGTAAAGACATAAAAGTTCATGGATGGATAAGCACAAATGACTCAGTTGGTTTCTGGCAAATCACTCCAAGCAACGAGTTCAGATCTGCTGGTCCTCTCAAGCAGTTCCTAGGCTCCCATGTCGGTCCAACCAACCTCGCGGTGAGCATAGGTTTTATCTAACGTTAGAAAGTTAGCATATAAAAAATGGTTGAATGATTGATATGTGTGTGAAATGGAAACAGGTATTCCACAGCACTCACTATGTTGGAGCAGAACTAATCATGAGTTTTGAAGAAGGTGAAGCATGGAAGAAAGTGTTTGGACCTGTTTTTGTTTATCTAAACTCTTTTCCTAAAGGTGTTGATCCTCTCTTGCTTTGGAACCAAGCCAAGAACCAGGTCTGTCACACATACATATATACATACATGCATGTGGAATAATAAAAGAGCTGAGTTGATTTGGATGTTGTTTCAGACAAAGATTGAAGAAGAGAAATGGCCTTATAGCTTCACAGCTTCAAGTGATTTCCCTGCATCTGACCAAAGAGGATCTGTTACGGGTAGATTACTCGTTCGAGACCGGTACACTACTTTCTTCCTTAAAACCATGTCGTTCTCTCACATAGAACATTCCTAAGCTTTTGGTTTGATTATGTAACAGATATATAAGGAGTGAGGATATACCTGCGAATGGCTCATACGTGGGTTTAGCTGCACCAGGAGATGTTGGCTCATGGCAAAGAGAATACAAAGTAATTTTTTCACATATTCATATATGATTGATTCATTCTTCTCCCTCTAGTTTTAACGGTAATTATAAAAGATTTGATTACATTGACAGGGTTATCAGTTCTGGTCAAAGGCTGACGAAAAAGGATACTTTTCTATAGACAATGTGAGAACCGGTCGTTACAATCTCTATGCATTTGTTCCTGGATTCATCGGTGATTACCACAACGAGACCGTTTTCAACATCTCTCCAGGTCTGAATACTTGTAAACTATAATACAACAACGATGACTGTTCTATATGTATTGTGCTAACAAAGAGTAAATTATTGGAACCAGGTACGAAAATTAGCCTAGGTGACTTGGTGTATGAACCACCAAGAGACGGTGTAACTCTATGGGAAATTGGTGTACCAGACCGAACCGCTGCAGAGTTCTACATTCCTGACCCTAACCCGACGTTTACAAACAAACTATACCTAAACCGTTCTGACAAATACAGACAATATGGATTGTGGGAACGGTATGCAGAACTGTACCCTCATGAAGATATGGTTTACAATGTTGATGTTGATGATTACTCTAAAAACTGGTTCTACATGCAAGTTACAAGGTTAGCTTCCTTCTAAACACCCAAACTCAAAGCAGCACTACGAAGATGACACTTTGCTAATGTGTGAGACGTTTGGTTTGTAGAAAGCAAGCTGATGGAGGATACAAAGGTACTACATGGCAGATTAAATTTCAACTCGATGATAAAACGAAAAACTTTACTGGAAATTTCAAACTGCGAATCGCTCTAGCCACATCAAATGTAGCAGAACTGCAGGTTCGTGTTAACGATGTTACTGTGGTTAAACCATTGTTTACGACGGGGGAAATAGGAAAAGATAACACGATTGCAAGACATGGTATTCACGGACTCTATTGGCTATACAGTGTGGATGTGCCTGCTACTTCTCTACGCCATGGAAATAACACCATATACCTAACTCAACCACTTGCCATAAGCCCTTTTCAAGGACTCATGTATGACTATATTCGTCTCGAGTGTCCTGATTCCATCAGTCATCTCACTTAGATTTGTTTTCGGTCTCTATCGTATAAGTTGATTAATATAATATACACATTCTTTTCTCAGTCTCTAGATCATATATTAATCTACTTTTTGCGTCCAAGTAGGCTTGGAACCAAAACAAAATGAACATATAGCGTCATTACTACGTCCTTAAGATCTGTAATTTAGAGAATTTGGTTTCTACCAAGCATGGAAAGAGATTCGGAGATCAAAGTCAAGCTTGAGTGAGATGCCTCTCGAACCATTTCAGATTAGCGGAGTGAACTAGCTTAAACTGTGGCAAGAGGACAACCAAAAAAACAGACAACAATGCTCAATCTGATTTCAGGTTTTGAAACTGGACACAGCCAGAGTGTAAGAACAAAAGTTGTGGAAGTAATTAGAGCTCGGTTTTTTGGCTCGACCCAAGCAGCCAGCTCCAAAAAGATAACTTACTTGATGGATGAGTATGTTTAGAGACATCTAGATTAGTATTGCAGAGGTTGTCAAAAGCATGCTTGAGATGAGGGGTCACCACTTTAGTCTGTAAGAACAAAAAAGAGTCATGAATGTGTACTCTTACCGAGGAAAATGCAAATATATGTAGGATAATTCAGATAGAATGGTGCAAAATACCTTGAAATCTTCAAGAGGGCAAAAATCTTTTCCATCACAACCCTGTTTGCAGAAATGGATAAACTTGTAAGGACATGTTAGGAAGTATAAGAAGAGAGTTAGGGAAAACTGAGTCAAATCATTTCTCAAGGAAGCTTTGTATGCTACATTGCCGTTACAATAGAGCTGAAATTGTGTTTGCGTTTGTTAGCTAGATGAAACTTACTGGAACTGCAATAGGATGCTCGTTGTGCAGAACCTGGACGAAGTACTTAGGCGAGGAAGCTGCAGGACAACTGTAGAGGACAAGCATATTGTTCCCACCAAAAGGAGCCATGGTGCTGCCTTTAAAGTCCCTGGTTTTAGGAGGCTGCGGAGGGAGTTCCAATGGTTTCTCTTTCTGTATTTTCTCAAACTCTGAAACATTTCAAACCATCCTTATAAGAACAAGTATAACGGGAATTATAGGTTTCACAACAAATGCAATTGCAGGAATCTGAGAAGCGAAGTTTGATGGACTAACCAGATGCATCAAGGAAAAGTCCAAGAAGACATGAGAAGGGAACTATTGTTTCGGCATGTGCAAACCTAAGTCTTGCTTTCTCGTAGCTTCCTGGTGGGAGATTTTCTGCATGATAGAAAAGACATAATTAAATCTGGTTAGCAAGATGACAAGCAAATGGTTATGGTTTCTTTTTGTACTTTAACGTTGGCATTACCTTCTCGGGCCTTGATAGCTTCTTCCATCGAATGCAAAACATCTTCGAGCAATGGAAATCCCATTTTGTAGTTCAAGGAATTTCCATAACCTTTGAGCATAAACACTTCCAAGTCATCTGCCCATTCCAACAAAGCAACCTGCAGTTGATTATAGATTACACCAGAAAACCCATAAGGTTAAGGATATCTAATCACGTATTGAACAATCCAAACACACAAAGAAACAATTTACAACTGATACCTCAGATGGCGTGAAAAGTTCACAACTTTGATTAGTTACATTAAGCAATGATGCTTCCTGAAATTTTGGAAAAAGAACTTTTAGCATTCCAATCTATTCATCACAGTCACAGACAAGTACGCCTGATAGCACAAGGAAAGGAAGGTAATAAACTTAACAAATTCTTTTTTGACGAAAAGCAGGAAAAGGAAGCACCTGCTTGCACAGAAACCAGAGGGACGAAATGTCCTGTTTCGTGAAACTCAAACCATGTCTCTTAGCAACGGAAGCAGTAATCTTATTCAGAACAGGTTCCTTGAGCTTATCCACAGCAGGCTCTTTAGCTTTTCTATAGCTCTGCATTCATAGTACATGTTAAAAAGTCCAAAGCAAATAACCTGAATGATTACTACTTTGAGGATGAGCTACAGAATAAATATTACTTAGATTGAGTCAATCAAAACTAGACCTTGTAGTTTTGACAACATTCGAAAAACCTCAGCTTGGTATCACTAGCACGATTTTCACTAGTGACAGCAAATGCTCTATTACGACCTGGTCCCAGTTCTCCTTTCTCACTGAATAACCCCATTCCAAACGCCACAGCACTTGCAGACGCCCGAGGAATCTACAAACAGACTCAAAACCATTCATAAACGTAAACCAAAATATCTGCTTGGCCAAAACAAAAAAAAAACACTCAAAAGCAACCACAAACCTGCGTAGCTCTAATGGTATAAACATCAGGATGATAATCCTCTTCGAACAAAGTAGGAAACCGTTCCCTAACCCGGATTCCAAGATGATACAACTCATCCTCGCCTTGCCTTATCAGCTCCCCACCTTTCACTTTCCCTTTCCAAGGAGATACATATTTCCCTAACCATCCAGGAATTTTATCTGAAGGCAATTTCCTAGCTTCTGCATCTCTTACAAGTTCCTTTAACCTACCAGCCAGATTCTCAAGTTCCCTCAACCTTTTCTTGGTTGGAGAACGAGTCCCATGCCTAGCCTAACACGTTATAATAAAAAAAACACCATCTCAGTATTCATAATGAATCTCCATCATATTTTCCCTCAAGATATAAGTAATGCTTACCACAAGGTTAAGGTGGATAGGTGTACAGTCACTAGGGACATTTGACCCTTCAATCAAATTCTGGGTGACTTCTTTCGAAACAGAGTATCTGCATTACCAAATCCAAAATAATTAATTACACCTTACTGATTAGGTTAATGTAGAGAAATCAAACAGTAATACGACCAATTAGGTTGTTCCTGATTCAATTTGTGAGCAACGATTAAGAACATCTGAGAGTATAATAGGAGAGAGAGAAACCTGGTGACAGTGGATAAGTGATGACGAACATCAAAAGCCTCTTGATCTGCCTGTGAAATAACGAATAAACACACCAGAATGATCCAAACTCTCTTCATCGCCAATCTCTCGCTCGCGCTTTAAGGTCCAAAGTCCAAACTTTTGCGTCTTTCCTTATAACGCGCTACTGCTTCGGGTCACACGGCAATAGCAGTCCGTGTTACTTCTTTGCACGCCACGTGTCCACTGTTCACGTTTTATGGTTAAGTCTTTTTGTTAACCAAGATTTTTATAATTTGTTTGGTCCGCTTCCGGTTTATCACGGTTTGGTTCTTCTAATAACGAAAACCAATTTTTTCTCTTACAGAGTTTTTTTCTCGATAACAAAAAAAAAGACAGTTTTTTAACACTAAGTTTATTTTTACAAGTTATACAAAAATTATAAAATGATTTTACAAATTTATTTACGAGAATTCATGTCTTATTCTTTTTCTGTCTTTTATTTAAAACAGAGTTCATGTCTTATTCAAAACTCAGATCTTTTAATCAAAAATATAAATAAACCATTAGATAGACTAAAAACTTCTACTGTGAAAAGCAAATTAAGAAAACATAACTTCGATTGCTTATCCATGTCGAAACCATGGGAAACTAGAAAGAAAGAATATATGGATTGAAAGAGACATATATTGTATGTAAGTTATAGTTTTTTTTTTTTGTAACACTTATGTAAGTTAGAGTTTATAAGGTGAAAGTCAAACATAGATCCAAATATAATAAAACGGTACAATACGTAGTTTGCTTTCAAAATGTTATATCAACAAATAACAATACTCGTTTGTTTTTGTCAAACACTATTGTTTTTGCTACTCATGTCCATGATAAACACTATTGACTAATCACAAAAATTTAGTTAGATTAATTCTATTAAACCGCCTGTTAAGGGGAGAGCTAAGCTAATTACAGCTTGGAACGAGTTATATGACTTTAACGTCAAAATACTAGTAGTTGATAATATAAAAAATATAAACAAACCAATCATACAGCTATGCAACGTTGAGTCAAAAGCATATGACCATTTCGTGACCCAATACTTCTCTCTTCTTTCTCTTTCCAGTGATTGTAATGTGTGTCTGCACGTTTAACCACTCATGAGGAACGAGGTCCAACCTCCACGCCAACATTAATATATCTGCACATTTTCAAATATCCACGAACAAGAAGAAGAAAACTCATGGAGGAGTTTCAAGGTCCAGAACCAGGAAGTCACCTGATCATGAGCGAGATTCGATCCCTTGAGCTCAACCAACGCAAATGGTGGATCTCTGTTTTCTTCAACAGCTTCTTGATCTTAACCGGAGACTCTCTCATCATGCTTCTCTTGAACTTCTACTACGACCAAGACAATCGTTCAGAGAATGATCAAGACCAACAGTACAAAGGAACATGGACACAAGCTCTGGTTCAAAACGCTGCCTTCCCCATACTGATTCCACTCTTCTTCATATTACCAAAACCAAACCCTGAAACAATCTCTGAATATCAAACCAGCAATAACCGTGTTATCTTGCTATACGTTTCTCTTGGTGTTCTTGTTTCTGTTTACAGCAAGTTATACGCACTGGCAAGATTATACGTAGGTTGGGGTATTCTGGTATCAGCTCAGCTGATACTAACCTCCCTCTTCTCAGCTTTCATAAACCGTCTCAAGTTCAACAGATGGATCATCATATCGATAATCTTCACTCTTGCATCAGACTTCTTCTGCACACCTGCGTTTTCCGGAACTCCTACTGATGATGAATCTTACACTTACGGCATCAAGGCTTGGCTGATACTCATATTCCCTACTCTCGCCTTCTCCTTGTCACTCTCCCTAATGCAACTCGGGTTCGAGAGAGTCTTGGTGAAGACAAAGAGGTATGGTGAGAAGAAAGTGTTCCGGATGGTGTTGGAGATGCAAATCTTTGTTTCCTTCGTGGCTACACTCATTTGTCTAGTGGGTTTGTTTGCTAGTGGTGAGTTCAAGGAGTTAAAAGGAGAAAGCGAGAGGTTTAAGAAAGGGAGAACTTACTATGTTCTGAGTTTGGTCGGTTTAGCTCTCTCTTGGCAGGTTTGGGCGGTGGGGCTGTTAGGTTTGGTGCTCTTGGTGTCTGGTTTATTCGCTGATGTTGTACATATGTGTACTTCACCGGTTGTTGCTCTTCTTGTTGTGTTGGCTTTTGACTTCAAGGATGATGACTATGGTTGGCAGAGAAGAGGTGCTTTGTTAGGAGCAGTCTTGGCTTTAGCTTGTTACTTCTATTACCTGCACAAAACAAAGAAGAAGGAGATGACAGAACTGAACAAAAGAGAGCACAACAACAGCGAAGAAGCTTAGTTCTCTGCTTCTGTGTACAATATGTTTAGATGAAACTCTTATTTATTTATGTCTCCTGCAGATACCCTTTATTGATTCAAAAGTTGTATACATATCCAAATGAGAGACTAATAATACATCCCTGATGATTATAACATATCACAACAACAGCTATAAATAATCATCTCTCAGCTATAGATAAACGAATCCAAGAGGCTTCGGCGTGGAAGAGCTTAAAACTTCTCTTACATAGCCCATTCCTCGAATCTGCCAAGTTTATTGGAAGGATTCTTCTTCCAGAAGGGCTTGATCTCTGTGAAATTGCCTGTTTTCTGTAAAGAATAAGCTTCATCAGTCTTTTGACCAAAAAAAAAGCTTCATCAGTCAACAAAAGCATAGAAGTACAGAACTCTGATCAGAATATACAATCCAAAGCTAAAATACCTTAAGGCAAAGGCTTCTGGTTGTGTCACAGACAGGGTAATCACGAGGACAACAATGACGACCATCCTTGCAACACACAGCAGACTCTAACTCGCAGCATTTCCATGAGAAACACAAACCAAACAAGTTTCTTGCACAGCAACAAGTCTCGCTAGCTGAACAATATGTGAAAAGGTTGCATTTAGTGGGGCCAGGAGGGGAAGGTGGAGGAGGGTTTGGATGTGTTTTGATGGGATATGAAGCGAGCATATTAATTCCACATACTCCTTCTGAACTGCCGGTGTTACGCTGCATGTGTATAAACCCATCAATTCCCCAACTTTTTCCCCATGAGTTCTTCACAATCCAATAATCAACACCATTCTCTGAACCATATCCTACGATGAGCACTGCGTGGTCCAATGATGTTGAGCACGGGCCAGAGAATATTCCCTGCATCAGAAGGCAAGATTAAGCGTTAAGAGAATAGAGTAGGTGTTTATCTGTGACTGTATATCATGAAACGTACCTTGGAGTATAACTGAAACGCTCTCTCGCTGCCACAGATGCCAACACTAACTGGCTGAGCCGCTACAGCTTCTAGTAATGCTTTCTCGTCATTTGATTTTACACCAGCATATTTATCAATTGTCACAACCCTTCTTTTCAACTGCAGAAACAGAAGAGAAATATAGTGATTGTCACATATCAAGGAAGCAAACAGGAAGGAAGAGAAATTAAAAGTGATACCTTATCTTTCTTACAGGTGCCATCACGTTCTTGATAAGGATAATCTTTCTCAGTGTCAATTCCATGGTTTTTAATAACAAACTCAAAAGCATAGTCCATGAGACCACCATTGCACCCATCATTATAGGACTTGTCACAATCAATAAGCTCCTGCTCAGAGAGGCTGACGAGATCTCCTGTTACAATCTGGTTAATTCCTTCCATAGCTCCAGTCGCCGAGAATGACCAACACGCTCCTATAAATGTACCACAACAATAAATCAGTAATGACACATCTGAAGAACAGTGGTCTAAACTGCTAAAACTCTGCCTGAGACAAACAGATTTTAAAACTTTCCTATTTGTATTTTGGTTTCAGTTACAACCACAAGATAACTTCTATTTATAATATATATCTATCTATATATGCCATAATTAGACAAGAAAAGAAAAATGAAAATTTATTATACTCCTAAAGGGTAAAAAGCGTGAACGAGTATGCCATGGTAGTCCCAAACTATGTCACGACTCAAAATGATTGGTCTTCATATCCTCAAAGATCCCAGATTTAATTTTTTTTTGTTACATCTCCGATCTAAGTTCCATTATAAAGTCTTAACCTTTGAATCAGTCACTGAACTAAAAAAAAATCCTAACAAATCAAATCTGATGAAACAGAGAGATAAAATAAAAAAATACCGCAGCTTCCTTGATCTTTAACATTAGTAACAGCTCCTTTCTTCCTCCAATCAACAGAATCTGGAACTTTCCCCCGAACGTTCTCAAAACTCTCTCCCTTAACCATTAGCAACGGAGCCGAAGCAGAGAGTCCGAGACGAGAAGCCTTGAACTCGTGATGAGTCAGATCCGCGAAGGCATTGAGTGAGAGCGAGTAAGTAGAGTTAGCGATGTCGTTGTGGCGTGTGACGAAGTCGTGATTGTCTCTAAAGATTTCAATCCTGTGTTGTCTCTCTTCTTCCGAAGCGTACGTTTTGCCGTGTCTCTGACACCACGCGTTAAACAGCTCGGAGATGCCATCGGAAGATGACGAGAAGGTCAGAGAAGAGACTAGAAGAAGGAAGAAGAAGAAAGTGAGAGGAGAGATAAAGGAAGAAGAAGAAGAAGATGATGGTGACATTTCTTTTCCTTACAGGGAAACCAAAAACAAGAAGAGTTTTTAGTTTTGGTCGTCGTCGTGGAGAGATTAGTTTTGTCCTAGTAATAAGGAGGTTTCAACCAGTAAGGATGCAATAACGGTTCACAAAACGCGCGGTTGGCGTTTTGTGATAAGCGTTTTTGCGTTGAAAAACTGATGGGGCTTTTATAATGATTATATTAGATCCGGTTATCGATGACTGGGCCAGACAGGCTAGGCCCATTATAGTTAAAATTCAAAATGCATTAGATGAAAATCATTATTTGTTTTTTTTTTAAGGTCAACAATAAATTGATTGTTAAATGTAAACATAGCATATACTTTTGTAAGCAAAAAGAAAGCTACTTTAACCTTTTTTAGGTTATAAGACCACTCCCTGTTGGACCTACTTACGACTTTATGGCATTAGCCCTTTTTAGTATATACTTTTTTTAATTTTAATAATTAGTATATTATATACTAGGATCGGCCCGCCCTACGGGCGGGATATACTTTAGTTGTGATCTAGATTATTATTACTTATATGATTTGTGGTTTATGTTTTAGGTTTGCATTTGGAAAACATGTGTACGATAACTGTTTTTTTTGTATTTTGAAAGGTTTTAGGTGATGAGAAATTATACATGAAAAGATATAGTTTACTTGTTTACAAAGGTTATTTCTATATGAAAAATTGTGATATTGATATGTTGTGAGAGCATGATGTTTCCTATTTAAACACTTTAATCTTATATTTGGTGTATTATTTGTGGTTTGTCAGATTTTGGGTTGGAAAGATTGGTTGTGGGTTTTATGTATAAAATTTGTGTGAATAGCTTTGGACCGTAGATAGGTGATGTTGGTAACGGATTATGATTGACTGGCCTTGGTAGTAGAACTTAAAGATAAAGAATGGAAGTTATCGAATTAACAGATCTTTTGGTTTGATGGTTTTTGTTATGTTTGCGTTGAACGGTCTTAAGCTTGTAGTTTCGCTACTATTTTCATAATTGCTTACAATTATTTTATACATTTTTCAATCAAATTTGTATTTTATACTGTCGCTTTCATATTGTTTACAGTTTGGTTTTTAAAATTATTTTGTTGTTAAAGATATTTTCATGGTCGTGACGAAAAGATTACTATGATGTTGATTTATATATTTTTTAAGATCAGTTACACTATGTGAATTTTTTCTGATATGTTTAAATGTTTAATGAAGGGGTCGGCACTCAGCACCCGTCTATTTATGTTTTGAGGTTTTAAATATAGAGAGTGAAATTTTATTTGGAAATTTTAAAGGTTCAAACTCGGTTTAGATTTGTAGGTTTTAATATCCATTTAAATTATGTAAAATTTATTTGAAAATAATAAAAAAATATTTTTAAATCATCAAAATTCTAAAATAAGAGTAATATACATGTATGTTGGAATAACATATGATTAGATAATTATATCATGAAAATTAGTTCTACTGAATAGATGTTGAATTGAAAACATTATATATTTTTGGTGTATTGAATTTTTTTTTTTACTATTTCGAATATTTACTTTTGGCTATTTTAAATACTATCTCGTAACCTGGGAAATTTCAAGTATTTTTATTTCTTTTGTATATTAGATACATTGATACATAAATAAAGGAAGCTTCTTCTCTGGATAAGAAGACTTGACTCTTTTGTTTTCTTGCTTCCTTCTTATTTACAATGATATATAAATAAAGGAAACTTCTTCTCTAAATAAAAAGACTCATTGTTGCTACTTACATTCCCATTGGCCTCTCACCTTGTTGACCTTCCACAAGTTTAAGAGTATATATAAACATATATATGAAAACAAACCATGTTATCAATATAACTGATTAGAATTTTGAAATAAATATAACTGACTAATTTATAATATATAATCCTTACATTAATTTTGTTATTCAGAATATTTTTTTCATTATACATAATCTTTTATGCAATATTATGAAAATGAAGTTAATAGTAAATTTATATTTACATAATCTTTTATGCAACAACGTCATTGTCATCATCTTCCTCCTCATTCCCTTCTCTTCTCCTGCTGCTTTTTTTTGCCCTTTCCTTCACTTATAAGGATCAGGTGTCACGGTATTTTAGTTTGAATAAATAGTTTTTCGGATTACTTTTACTTTCGGTCATATCTCAATCCAACATACAGGGCAGATGGGCCGTTACATTTTTCTTTCAAATGCATAGGCAAGAGAGTTATTCTCAGGGACTGGATCATGTCTGAGGACTGAAGTTTGTATTGTTGTCATCGCTGTAGGGAAGGTGGAATCAAGTTGTCAAGACTGTCTAAGGAAGAGGAAAACTCTCAGGTTTATACAGAATTAATAACACGTAGCTAGCAGCATTACAAAAACATGTTCTTGCATCCCATTCTCATTTAGTTTCCCATGCACCAACAATGTATTAGTTTTCTTCCTCTCCTATAATCATAACTACTGCCTCTGTGCTGCGAGACAAACCGTAACAGTTAGGACATTCTATAAACTCATCAACATTTTTGGCTCGTTTTCGGTTGAGAGCTTTTCATTTTCCTGTACACCCACACATATCACCTAGTCATATAAACACATAAGAGCATCAATGTTAAGCTAATGAGGTTTTGCAGCATATCAAACGGAAACAGAGAATCGTTACGATTTTTAACAAAGTAATATGTTATCTTACTCAGAGTAACCATATGAATATAAGAGTTTTGTAAGCTAAGAAAATGTAACTCACAAAGAACCGCACCAATGGCCCGGCAGGCCCGGAAAACACCTGGTTTCTTATCTATAGCAGATGCGTTTTAGACAGAGACAAAGGTATAAGCATTGGTATTTAAAGCTGGAGATAAGCATACACATGTCAGCACCCACTGTCTCCGTGACATCGATTGCTGATCCCCCTGCAGGCTAAAAACACAAACCAGCTAAGAAATCTCAGAGTTTTTTTATTACCAAAAGGCAATGTAAAGCACTTGCATACACAAGTGTAGATTTTAAACTACAGCTAGCTCAGCTCCCAATTTATGGTGACCAGTAACATTTAAAGGCATCCAATAATGTTCTTAGCATCAATGGAAGCCAAGAAAAAGATATTTTCACAAAATAGTGAATTTAGTATAAATATAAATAGACTTAGACTTTGCACCTGAGTTTCGTTGGGAGAAGAATCGAAATCGTTCCAACCGAAGCTTTGATTGTCTGAGCGCAGTGAGCTACATCGAAACCAGACATGAGTACATGGATCCGGCGGCGAGCCTATGCCGGAAAGTTTGGAGGCGGTTGGCATTGATGGTTGCTTGCATAATGTCGCCTGTGAAGAAAATAATAGAACACAGAAGCAATTTAAAAAGCAGTTAGACAGAGATTTATTTGAAAACGATTTTGATTCTAGATTAAATGATCACCTGACATTCTTCACCTCGCAGAAACTGAGAAGCCTGACCTCGAGAGTGGAGGACCACCGGCCGGTCTTCAGATCTGAAAAAAAAACTCTAGAGGTGGCCATTTCGACGATAGTAAATAGTGAGAGAGGATGATGTTTTCCAGAGCAAGAAGCATACATATTTATACTCGCAGAGTGACCGACCCTCAGTAATTAGTATCTTCAACGCATTGATGTCGAGATCGTGGGGTAAAGGAGTTACAAACACCATGGGAACGATGTCACACTAACCGTCACACAGAGGAACCTTCATGTCGTCTGCTCTGTTACGAAGTTTAACCCTAAAACGACGGCATTTGATAAGCATAACTATTGAAGAACGGATTACGTGGAACCTTATAACTTTAGGTCCATATAATTGTAGGAGGCCCAACTGATCAAGGAATAGCACAATTAAACGCAGACTTTCGACAGAGAATAACACGTGTCAAACTGCAGGAAAATGAATTGTTGACGTGGCATAGGTAAGAGGGAGACAAACATTACTTTATATATATAGATATGATCACGCGGAGACCAGAGAGTAGTAGTAACTAGTAAGTAACCAAACAATATGCTTTAGTTTTCAGAATTACTCATTAATCACATATATAATCAAATACATATACCAATCTTTTCAATGTATACTTTTTCAAAAAAAATAAGTGTGGCGAGTGACTTATTATGATGATGATAGAATAGTCCAACGAGTGACAAAGAAACAAACACATCTTCACACTGTTTGAAAAGAAAGATAGTAGTGTGGCGTGGCGTTCAGTCTTTTACCTAATTGTCGACAAGTAAAGGCTACTTTCACTATATAATAATCAGCAAATACGAACGTGGATTTTTCTCTTTTGACAAAAAAGAAGAGAGTATTTTTCAATCCTAAGAACATTTATTGTTGTTTTATCATCGTATTTTTAAATATCAGAAGACTATACATTACAATAAATCCAATGTAGATGCATGTTTAGTTTAACTGAAACCGATGACATTTATTTTGTAAGTATCTACAACTACTATAGTTGAAATATGGTCGTCGATCAAAAGTTTGAATATCTGGTTATCTGGTAATATTAGGTTGGCTAAGGTTTGAAAATTGTTTCTTATGTCATAATATTCGGTGACATCAAAGAATTATATATTTATTTAAAATTTTTGTAATGTTCTGTTTTTTTTTTTTTTTTAGTGTTATAAAAAAAACAGAACACTACAGTTTAATTATAACCGGAAATTCTAAATCCCACTAAAAAATTAACATTTTGGCATCGCTAGGGACAGAAAACCCACACGTGGCAACACGTGACTAGTCTGGATCACTTCTTGAGATCAGGATAAAATTTAATTATACTTGTACCATTTCATAATATATGATATTTTGGTACGGTGTACAAATATTTAAAAAATTACAATTTTCTAAAAATTATTTTTGAATATATAATTTTTCAACCAATTATACAAAAGTATAAAATTTTATTGGTCGAATAATTTTTAAAAAAATTAACTTCAATACATATCTGAAAACTTTAAAATATCTTATACTGTATTTTGAAACAACATTAATTATGTAATATGATAAACAGTATAAGTAATTTCTCTATATACAATTATACATAACTAAAATTAATAAACTATATAAATAAATGAAAAGATTTAAAGTTTCCCAAAAAAAAAGATTTAAAGATATCAATGCTTATAATGATGAGCTGTCCTTTCATAATCTCGCTTGATTCAAAACGGTAGACAAACAAACAAAGGTAGAAGAAGAAGAAGAAGACGAAGTGAAGAGTGAAAAAAAATAATCTAAAGTTTAGCTTTTTTTTTCTGATCATCAATCATCGAGAGAAAAAAAAAAACTTTTTTCATGTGAAGAAGCTTATCAATCGAAGAAGACAATCGTCAAATGCTTCACTTTGGTTCCCTTTCTTCATCAGAAAACTCGAGGTGATCATCACTTTTTCGCTCTCCTGCTCACTGAGAAGCTTTGAATTAGGGTTTTTCTGGGTAGCGGCTGATTCTCGGAGCTACTCGTTTTGTTTAGTTGTTGACACTGAATTTTCCAGACAATCTACTAATCAGTTTTAGCCGGAAGTAGATCTGATAATAGTGTATCGCCACTAGTTCAAAATTTCATCAGTGATTAAAAGTTTCAAACTTTACTGTTAAAATTGACTTATCTTTTTTATCTCTTTGTGATAAAAAAAAAAAGTGTTCTTTGTAAAAGCTGACGACCTGTGATATGGATTCAAGATCCTTGAGTTATGTATATGATACACGTTTTACTTACCTTGAAATTTTACTAGGTAGATCAGTTCTTTGATGGGATGGGACACCAAATCACTAAGTGTTACGATACCATCAACTACTACTAGTAAGTGCAATCCTCAGAGTAACTACAATGGCTTCTTCTGGACTGGGAAATGGAGTTGGCAGTTCGAGATCTTCCAAAGGTGTAAAGGCCTCTTCTAGTTCAGTCGATTGGTTGACAAGGGACTTGGTTGAGATGAGGATAAGGGACAAGGTCGAGACTGATGATGAGAGGGTAAGTTGTGCATTTACTTATTTGCTTTGAGTCTCCTTTTCATGTCTGTTCTATTGTTTTCAGCTTGAAACCATACCATGAGTGTATGATTTTTTTTTTTTTTATGTTGCAGGATAGTGAACCAGATATTATTGATGGTGCTGGCACTGAACCTGGCCATGTGATTAGAACCACACTACGTGGACGAAATGGCCAATCAAGACAGGTTGGAGTGTTATGGAGAATTGCATGTTTAACATTGTTATCTAACTCCTTCTAATATATATGTTTTTCTTTTCGGATTGACAGACAGTCAGTTACATATCAGAACATGTAGTTGGTACTGGTTCCTTTGGCATGGTTTTCCAAGTAAGATGAACTAACATCTTTGATGTCTGCCTTACTATTCATTTGGTTCCATTCACTCACACATTTATGTTTCCTTTCTGGTAGGCCAAATGTAGGGAAACTGGGGAGATTGTTGCAATCAAGAAGGTTCTACAAGACAAGCGTTACAAGAACAGGGAGCTACAAATTATGCAGATGCTAGACCACCCCAACGTCGTTGCTTTAAAGCATAGCTTCTACACGAGAGCAGATAATGAAGAGGTTTATTTGAATCTTGTCCTTGAGTTTGTGCCTGAGACCGTCAATCGGGCTGCAAGAAGTTACACTAGGACGAACCAGCTCATGCCTTTGATATACGTTAAACTCTACACCTATCAGGTAACTAATTTAAAAGCATGAGACCAAATTTCTTTTTCTTCACAAACTTATTCTAGATGTGTTTGTGGATCTATGTGTTAATGTTGTGATGCTTTGAAAGTGTAATGAATTTTTTATTGCATGCCATACTCCTCCGAAGTTTTTTTTACAAGTCTGTGTTAATGGTTACAGATTTGCAGGGCGCTTGCTTACATCCATAATTGCTTTGGTCTTTGCCACCGAGATATTAAGCCTCAGAACCTGCTAGTAAGCTCATCTGTATCTCCCTGTTTCAAAATAAAATTATAACAGATGGCAGTTCCTTTACTGTGACCAAATCCTGTTAATTATCTCCTATTTTCTGAGTTCTCTCTCTACAACATTTGAATGTCCTAGTGGGTTTTAAATTCTAACATGATAAAAATACTATTATAACATGCTTCAAGTTCTACAACAAGGCTATGTATACATCTTTACAGTGGTACTTGGCTTCACTTCATTTAGATTTGACGTTAGATATGTTGTTGTGCAGGTGAACCCACATACGCATCAGCTAAAAATATGTGATTTCGGGAGTGCAAAAGTGTTGGTAAGGTTTATTGACGCAGTTTTTAAAGAATCCATTTGTGGAATATAACAAAAAGTTGTTCTCCTTAGGTGAAAGGAGAACCCAATGTTTCTTACATCTGTTCTAGATACTATCGTGCTCCAGAACTCATTTTTGGTGCCAGCGAATACACTCCTGCAATTGATATATGGTCAACTGGTTGTGTGATGGCTGAATTGCTTCTTGGACAGGTTAAAGCAAACAAAAATTTATGTTTTAGCTATATGATTTCTGTGCTAACCTTCTGAATTCCCCCCTCTCTTACGTCTTTGTGTCCTTGCAACTTGTCGTACAGCCTCTGTTTCCTGGTGAAAGCGGAGTCGATCAGCTTGTTGAAATCATTAAGGTAGCCTTCTATAAATGCTTGAAAGTTTATTCCAAATTTAGAGACAATCACCTGTCTTGGGCCGTTGGACGTGCAGTGACTGATAGGTGCTTAGAGAGTTTTTCTTTACAAGTTATTTTTCTCTCTCTAGTTGTCAGATCAGCTTGTTAGTAGATTATCAACTTGATATCTGAATAGATACAGGCTTATGCGTCGCAGTTTTTTACGTCTGTTGTTGGCTCATAGTCAGTATGAAGGAAAGCAATTAATTTGTAGAAGCAGAGAATGCACCTCAACCTTTTCTAGAAAACCTTATTTTCCTACTTCTTGTAATTTTATTTATCATGCAGGTTTTAGGTACACCAACGAGGGAGGAAATTAAGTGCATGAATCCAAACTATACAGAATTTAAATTCCCCCAGATAAAACCTCACCCATGGCACAAGGTATGCCTTCTACTGTTCATGGTCACCTACCAGGATATTCATGAATCAGCTGTTTTGTTGGTAAATGTATATTGATCTCGTGTTTGTCATGATTTTAAAGTATGAGTCATTCAAGACCATGCACAATTTCTTTTGAACGCCTAATACAGTTGAAGAAGTCATTGCCTGTGTCATAGAGTTGAATTTTTTTTGCTAAATTTCTAAATGATTGTGGCTTTAGTTTTTGTTAAGTATTTCTATCTGGTTGACGATGGTTTGGCGTTTTATTTTCCTGCAAAAGTGTATAGTTTGGCTTTGATGATCATTGCGTCTCTATAATTGTTTGCTAATCTGGCATTGTTATTATTGCATACGTGATCATTTGTGCTTTAACATCAGGTCTTCCAAAAACGTTTACCACCAGAAGCGGTTGATCTTCTATGTAGGTTCTTTCAATATTCCCCTAATCTGAGATGCACAGCTGTAAGTGATCCATGATTTTGTGCCCCTCGTTATGTAATAATATACACTCAGGATCTAAGATTATAAGCACATTTTAAAAACAAATTGGTGTTTTTTTTTGTAGTTGGAAGCATGTATTCATCCGTTATTTGATGAGCTAAGGGACCCAAACACTCGTCTTCCCAATGGCCGGCCACTTCCTCCGCTTTTCAACTTCAAACCTCAAGGTACAGTTCCCTTGTTTCCATGAAGAATAGCTTCTTGTAGGCTAGTAGTAAACCATACTAGTTTGACCTCGTATGAGATCTAACATTAATGCTCTATCAAGTTGTTGGCATGATGTCTTTTGCACCTGAATGAAAATGTAAACCTCAAACCACATTTTACATTACTAGGATCTCTTTGTAAAAAACGAGGATGATTAACTAAGTGAATCCACAAGTATGGTGAGCAGAGCCAGAGTGACCTCCTCTAGGGAAAAAAAATAGCTCTTGTATAAATATTTTGTTCTTCGTATGAGAAGAATCTCTAGGTGCTTCCTTCACTTTCAAAAGTTTAATTCATGGAAGAGTGTTCTTTGTCCTGCAGAACTATCTGGCATCCCTTCAGAAATCGTGAACCGGCTTGTACCAGAGCATGCCCGTAAGCAGAACTTCTTCATGGCTTTGGATGCCTAAGCGCTTATCAGTTCCCTTTTCTTTTTGCTTATGTATAAACTTACTCTCATGATATTGGTATTTGGAGCCGCCAGAAGGCATTGTACGCCTATCTTGGCTTTTGTTTTTAGTGAGTTGGTTATCGGAGGATGCATGAATACAAACAGGAGTTACTTGAGGTTGCTACTGGCTATAAGACCTCTTGTTTGTTTCACAGCCCGTTTTTATATATACATAACCCTTTCTATTGCAAAATTGATGTTTGGTTTCTAAAGATTTTGAAGTAGTTTTGAAGTTGCAATGAAAACAAAAAAATCATAATGATAGTTGTTCTATATTTTTCATTTAATTCTGCTTAATAAATTGATTGAAAGGTAAAGTATATCCAAAACAAAACAAAAAAACAGTTTAAACCCTCGTAGAGCGACGCTGCTGGTCCGAGTCTAAAACTCTCTATAGCCTGCGACTTTGACTGTCTCTGTCTGTCTCTGTCTGTCTCTCATCTTCTCTTTCCCAAAACTTTTCCGACATGTCGTTGTGTACAGTCAACTTCCATCCTTCATCTTCTTCCATCAATCTCTTCTGCAACAACAACAGCAACTCACCTAAACCCTTTCTCAACTCTCTCGTTTTCTCCACCTCTTCTGTTTCTTCTTCCTTTGTTGCTCCTCTCAGATTCTCTACCGCCAATCACTCCCTTACCTCTCGTTTATCTTCGAACAGCATCCAAAGACGCCAACTTTGGCTCCGCTGCGTCTCCACTGAGTCCAACCCATCTACTTCTGTTGTTCCCGGCGGCGCTGGTAAATTCCAACGATACCCTTTTAGCTCAATTCGATTGATGTATGTTCAGTAGAGATATACATTTCTCTGAACCTTTTTAATTAATAAAACTAAATTTGGTAGCTTTTTCTTCAGTTGTTGACTGTGATTGTAAACTCGTTTCAAAATTTGTGCAGAAGAGGAAGTGGTTGTTCTTGTAATCGGTGGAGGAGGGAGAGAACACGCACTTTGTCACGCACTGAAACGCTCTCCTTCATGTGGTTCTGTGTTATGTGCACCTGGAAACCCCGGTATAACAAGTTCCGGAGATGCTACTTGCGTACCTGACCTTGACATATCAGACAGTTCAGCTGTCATCTCTTTCTGTCGAAAACAGAATGTGGGGTTAGTGGTTGTTGGTCCTGAAGTGCCTCTTGTTGCTGGTCTCGCCAACGACCTGGTTAACGCCGGTATCCTCACTTTTGGACCTTCTTCTCAAGCTGCTGCTTTGGAAGGTTCTAAGAACTTTATGAAGAATCTTTGTCACAAGTACAATATCCCTACTGCTAAGGTTTGCTTCACTATTAGAATCTTGGCTCAACTATTAGCTATAGGTCTACTGTAATCAACCTTAAGGCTGCATTGTAGAGTTGTTTTGAGTTGGTTAGTAAGCAGTTAGTGAGGGTTGGGTTTATAAGAATGTCTCAGTAGATTGTGTTTATGGTTTGTGTTGAGAGTTGATAGTCTCTCATCAATCAAGGTTTTCTTGTTGGGTTATTTTGAATAAGAATAGCAGTTTCCTTGCTTTGATCATATCATATGGATATTCCAGTTTAATGTGGTTTAAAGACTAATACATTGAATCAAATGCAGTATAAAACATTTTCAGATGCGTCAGCTGCTAAAGAATACATTAAAGAGCAAGGTGTACCAATCGTGATCAAAGCAGACGGGTTAGCAGCGGGAAAAGGAGTCACTGTTGCAATGGAACTAGAGGAGGCTTATGAAGCTGTTGACTCGATGCTGGTCAAAGGTGTGTTTGGTTCTGCAGGATGTCAGGTGATTGTGGAGGAGTTTCTTGAGGGAGAAGAAGCTTCCTTTTTCGCACTTGTGGATGGAGAAAACGCCATTCCTCTTGAATCTGCTCAGGACCACAAGAGGGTTGGAGATGGAGATACAGGTCCTAACACAGGAGGAATGGGAGCTTATTCTCCTGCTCCGGTTTTGACCAAGGAGCTGCAAGATGTGGTGATGGAGTCTATAATTCACCCTACCGTTAAAGGAATGGCTGAAGAAGGATGTAAGTTTGTTGGTGTTCTGTTTGCTGGTCTCATGATTGAGAAGAAGTCCGGTTTACCTAAGCTGATTGAGTTCAATGTCCGGTTTGGAGATCCAGAATGTCAGGTAAGGAAAATAAACTAGTTTAGTCTCAGTTTGACTGTTGTTTCCAATGTTTAAGAAATTATTACTAGGCAGGTAAGTAGATGCTTTGTAGAGAATTAGTGACTAGGTGGATTTTTGGAGGTTAGGCTGGCTAGACATTAACGAATTAAGCTATTTTAGTTTTTAGGTTTGATTAATTAGTTTGATGAATTATCAAAACTAGATCAAAACAAAAAAAATTAGACAAACTTGTGAATTTATACTAACATTATTACTTAACAGATTTAAACTAATTTAGGTCAATTTATACCGATTTAAACTAATGTATAATAATTTTAAACCGATTAAGAATGGTTTTTAAACCAATTTGAGTCGTATAAATCCGGTTTAAACAATTTGCTGTCTTGATTGACTTTTAGAACCGTGGTTGTGTCTGAAGACTCTAAACAATGGAGCTTCTTGTTTTAACACAGGTACTGATGATGCGTCTAGAGTCTGACCTCGCCAAGGTATTGCTAGCAGCTTGTAAAGGCGAGCTAAACGGTGTGTCACTTGATTGGTCAAAAGATTCAGCAATGGTGGTTGTAATGGCAAGCAAAGGTTATCCTGGTGCTTACGAGAAAGGCTCAATCATCAGAAACCTTGAAGAAGCTGAAACAGTTGCTCCAGGAGTGAAGGTTTTTCATGCAGGAACAGATGTTGATTCAGAAGGGAATGTTGTAGCGAGTGGAGGACGTGTTCTTGGGGTCACAGCGAAGGGTAAAGATTTAGAGGAGGCGCGTGAAAGAGCGTATATGGCAGTTCAAGAGATCAAATGGCCTGGAGGCTTCTTTAGGCGTGATATTGGTTGGAGAGCGCTTCGTCAGAAACAAGTAGCTACAAAAGAGTGAGTGAAGAGAGAGACTTTTGTTGTAATGTCTTCTAAACGAGTGAACATTGAAAAAATCACTTTAAGCTGTTAAGAGATCATTCAAAATAACTTTCTTTTCATTAAAAATTTAAAGGATGTTTAGTTTCATCAATTATATTCCTCTAACCATACCACCATTCGAGCACTTTGAATTTTATCAAGTTTTTTTATGTTTCTCTTTTTTTTTTTTGTTATGATGATCCAGAGGAGTAATTCATATTAACTAATTTTAATACTATGTTAAACTCTTTTCTTACACTGAAGAAGAAGAAGAATCAATAGATTGGAAAAAAAACTTGTAAAAATAAAACTGTATAACCAAAAATATATAAAAAGTAAAGAATACAACTTATTGATATTTTAAAGAAAAATGGCTTCAAATGATTTAAATCAAGATTTTATTCTCAATCTAGTTTTCAAAATTAAAGATAATTCAATTAGGTTTCATTTAATAGGGTAAATTATCATGTTGCCCTAATTACTAGTCTTCTTATTACATTTTAATTGGTTTTTTCACTCTTTGGGGAAAAAAGTACACGTGGCATCTACCTTGGCTGAGCTGGTATTAACAAACAACTAACTTGATAAACTTCTAATAGCACCCCCATTGAAGGTTTAAGGGGGGAGTTCATACGGAAATCAAGAAAAAATAATAATAAAATAATAAAAACCTATGAACCCCTCTCTCCTAAAGTTCACCCCGGTGAACCCCTCTCTCCTGAGATTCAACACGTGGCGGCTCGGGATTGGTCTAGATTTTTTTTTTTTTTTTTTTTTTTAAAAAAATCAAAAAGAAAACAGAAAATTTTTAATAATAAAAAAATGATTCAATGAACCCCAAGAGGGGGTTCATTGATGTGGATGCTCTAACATTTACACTATCGCTTAAGTACACCTCTATTTAATTAATAGGGTTCCACTTTCATATTAGGGAGATATTATTGGTGAGCTAAGTGTAATCAGAAGCACATTCAATGCCGGCACATACGGGACACAACGTATAATGGCAACTCTACATATATAAAGGTACTTTGCACGGTTGATTATATAGTGGTTGTCATTTTCTACTACTTTGTATGTCATTTTGCCTCTCATGACACCTTATATCATTGCTCCTTTTAGGGATGTTACTGTGTGTGTTAGTCTCTTTGATGGACTGACTCATGCATTCAGTAGAAAACTGGAAGCTACGGGTTAGAGTTCAATGTTGTGCTAGCTACCAGCATAAGTCCTAAAACAATTGGTGGTGAGACAAATATTACATTCTTATATCTCCAACATTTAGGATAACTTATCCACTTTAACATACACTGGTGATTGTTATATATCACACCATCTCTGTTTTCTGGTTTATCAAAAGATTTTATAAGACTGAAAAAGATGTTATACAGAACCTTGGATAACAAGAAACTATCAGTAGAAGCAAGCATAATGCTGCACAGAACCAGCTGCTTCCACTGAGAGTGATGGTGCAAATCGTCTTCTAGATCAAGCACGAGCTGCAATAGCTACAACAACAAACAATATTACCAAGAATTAAACAGCACTTTTGAGAAGAAGCTTTACAACAAGAAGAGAAATAGATGCAGAAAGAGTTGAGATTAAACCTAGCGGAGAATTTCAGAGCAGCACTTCTTGGAGGTTTACGGCATTGTGTACGATCCCTAGGCACCCTTACAATGTTTTGCATGTTGTTGTCGTTCAGTATGACTTTAAGCCAACATATTTGAATAGAAAAGATGGTGGGGTATTTTCTTATTCTATTGGTTTCTTGTCGCTCAGGTCAAGTGTTCTTCATTATCTCTTTGAAGCTTATTTGATTCTGGAAAACTAGTCCCTCATTCCATGTTGTAAAATCGAGTAACAGAAAATATGTACATCAGTTTTTATTGAGTTTGAGAAAATATAAATGTATTTTGAAAGAAACTATCTTAGAGTTTAAAAAAAAAACATATTCTTATATCACAAACTTGCACAAGACTAATAACCAAAGTAATGATATGTAACTTAGATTTGGCGATACAAATGCAGTTCTCTAGACTTCTTATCTCCACCACCTCCATGCTCCCCATGAGACCATGTTTGAGTCCACGTTGTCATGATTTTCATCACAATTAATCGAAGATTAGACAGATTTAAGTAATATCATTAAAAGTTACATAAAAAGATTAATCAAGCTGAACAAGTCAAGCATGATGAGTTTGACGTTATTGGTGATCAGAACTTCAGAAGTCGAACTTAGTTGTAAAGTGACTAAAGAACTTAATATGATTTCTTTCTCAAAAAAAAAAAATTAATATGATTCCATGATAAAGTCAAACATCCACCTTTCTAGAATAATCTACTCAAGGTCAATCCGGCTCACCTTATCTTTGATTCAATTGTATAAAAATTACTCATTAATAATCCATATATGTTCTTTCAGCATTCTCTGGAGAAAATATATGATATTGTTCTAGAGAAAATTGATCACTTAATTAAGATCTACTGTAAAATACAACAAAATTACGAAACGACATCCACATGCAATGGTGTGACTCAAATTATCCAAGGATGTTGCACCTGCTCAAGCCCTTAGGAACGAACCTAGAGGAAGAGTGGATTCAAGAAAAACAATGGTGAAAATGAAATTAAGGACTTTCGATTTCAGGGCTCAAGAGAATTATTACCACATGATATATATAAATTTGATTCCTACCGTTTGTATATTACCACATGATAGTTGGATTGTTGGTGCCCATAAGATGATTAGGAATAGTTGCATTAGAAGACAAACTTGGGTTCAATCTCGCTTATGAGAATTTGTATAGGTTTGTGTTACTATTCTTTACACATAATGCCTACATGTGTGCTCTGATGAGCTGTACTGTATATCGACACTAAATGTCTCTTTTCTTCTTCTTTCCCATTTCTTGGATAAATGTTTGTTAATAGCTCTAATCAGCTAATGCCAGATGAGTTGAGCGTTTTTTGTTCTGAATAAATCAAGTATGATATATATTTTCTTTTTTTTTAGAAAGGGTTTAAGTATGATATAGTTTAAAAGGTCTATTAAAAAAATCTAAGGTAGTACAGTATAACGTCTTTAAATTAATATTTTATAAATTAATATACACTAAAAATTTCTATAAAATAATATAATTTAATAGTCCCAAATTGAATTTTTGGTTTAATTAGTATATTGATAAATTAATAATCTCTATAAATTAGTAAAAAATTATAGTTTTGATGTAGTCTCAACATTATTAATTTATAGAAGTTTCACTCTAGTTGTTCTTATTTTAGATTTTCTTCAACTATATCAAAAGTAAATATAAACCAGAACTAAAAAATAGAAATTAATACATTTTCCTTAATTTTAATCTAATCATTTTTTATTCTATAACAGAAAAATGTTAATGATCCTTTCAACTCAAACCATAAATTTTAATAAAACTTACAATATAAGTTAAATCAGATTATATTTATTATTTCAATTCAAAATAAAATTTCAAATATTATATAAAATTATAATATTAAATATGAAATAATTTTGGTGCATACTCACCCGCCCGTAGGACGGGCCAACCCCTAGTTTAATTTAAAAAAAAATGAATATAATCGTGCACGTCTCTCCACGCCATTTTATTTTCTACGTTCACTCATTCATCTGTTCCACCCTCATCAGTTTTATGTTTCATCAGTCCGCTGTCGTCCAACATTTCAAACGAAACAAGTTTTATCTTTTCTTTTCATTATCATTGTCCAAAATAACTCTTATCCATCAATGATAACTTTTGATTGCTAGTTATTACTATATTAATGATTAGTTTTCCGTTTAAAGTTATAATCGATTATCAGTGGCCAATGTTTCTTTTCAAATTTATTCACAATTATTACTATATCGAAGCTTAATCTGGTGATTTTAGTGTTTTATTAGATTTGATTATATTGTTTTTATTGATTTTTTAATTGATTTGGAAGATTTAGTCAATGTTTTCGGATATAGTAAGTCTCTTATCCTTTCACGAATTATGTTGGTTTGTAAATTAAGTTTTTTGTATGTAGCCAATGGCATCTACTTAGTGCTGATTGTTGATTAATTTACTTAATTTCAACTTTTGATTATGATTTTTCTAATAGTTTGTAAAGATGGTTGAGATTGTGTTTGTCATGATTCTCTTCTTTTACCTATAGAAGACATATCTATTTAACATGATTGTTGAAGATGATGTTCCAACAAATTCTATAAGAAACAATCGCCTACTAAACACCTTCATCAACAAATTAAAGAATTTGTCACTTGTGTAGAATTTGTCGCTTGTGTGTAAAAGTTAGGCATTTTTATATTTAAGTGATATTGTATAAATGTTCAACATCGATTATCCATCGATGATAACTTGCAATTGCTAGTTATTACTATATTAATGATTAGTTTTCAGTTTAAAGTTATAATCAATTATCAGTCGCCAATGTTTTTCTTAAAAGCTATTCACAATTATCACTATACGAAGCTTAATCTGGTGAAACTTTGTGATTTTAGTGTTTTATTAGATTTGATTTTAGTGTTTTTATTGATTTTCTAATTGATTCGGAAGATTAAGTCAGTGTTTTCGGATATAGTCTCTTATCCTTTTACGAATTATGTTGGTTTGTATATTAAGTTTCTTGTGTGTAGCCAATGGCATTTACTTAGTGATGATTTTTGCTTAGTTTACTTAATTTTAACATTTGATTTTGATTCTTCTAATCGTTTTTATATATGGTTGAGATTGGGTGTTTTCAATATTCTTTTTTTTTTCCTATAGAAAACAGATCTACTTAAGATGATTGTTGATGATGATGTTCCAACAAATGTTATAAGAAACAATCGCCTACTAAACATCTTCATCAACAAAATTAAAGAATTCGTAAGAATTTATTATTTGTATAGAATTTGTCGCTTGTGTGTAAAAATTAATCATTTTTATATTTAAATGATATGATCTTTATATAAATATTCAACACTGATTATAAACAATGTATCAAGAAGAGAAGATCGATAACTTCAGTGTTTTTTACTAACTCAGAGAAGAGAAAACCAATAACCTTCTTCTTAGATCATATTGTTCATTCTTTGTTCGATTCTTCAAAAGAACAAGTTCAAATTCAACATCATTTTGAAATCCCCAAAATTTGAACTGAAACTCTTAATTTCATTTTACAATCAGAAACTTCAAAAAATACATGTAAACTCGTGATTTTGTCTCCAGCGACGACAAAACCGAGAATAATGAGAGGAAGAGCAAAGATTTTTTAATCATTTTTTTGTTTGATTTTGTTGTTATTAACAAGTAGGAGGGCATACTAGTTTTTTAACCTATTAATAAAATTATTATTATTTATTTTAAGTTTGAAATGATATTTTAAGGATAGAAACTTTTTTGTGACACTTTTAAGGATAAAAACTTAAAAATTTTATTTATGACAATTGCTCTATTTTAGATAAGAATGGTTTATATAAATGGTTACTTTCTGAGTTTTTATAAAATTTTAAGATATTTCTTACTCTTTATTTTAATTTACGACCGCTTTATTTGTTCATTGCTAAAGCATGATATGTGATGATTTTAAGATTTTGAGTAAAATCTGCTAAAAATATAATTATGAATAATTTGATTTAGTTAATTTCATTTTAGGTTTTTTGAAAGGAATTTTGAACTGTCTTTTTTTTGTGTGTAAACAAGCCTTAAAATTTTCTTCCAAATCTCAAACTTTACTCAATATAAAATTAGGTATATAATTAACTAAAGATTTTTCAGTGTTTGTTTTAGTTGCTCAAATTATTGAGTTTAAAGTATGCATTTGAAAGTTTTGGGTTAATTCAAGAGGACTTATGTTAAAATCTAGAAGATTTGAGACAACAATGGAAACAATCAAAATTAAAAAGACCAACAATAAAAATTAATGAAACGTGATCTCAAGATTAAACAATGGCGATTTCGGATGCAACGGCGGCTTTGCTTTACGGTGGACATGTGAATCCCAACATCCCGATCTAGATGAATCAAGACAGAGGGTACAATGGGTTTGAGCTCTCGGTTCGCCTCAAGCTCCTCGTATGATCAAATTATAGACACCATGACAAGCCTCACCTGATGTGGTAAGACACTATCCTCATGACGAGCGTCACGTGACTCGCGTCGGATCGAGTCTCTCAAACTTGAGTTGGTGGACCATCTCCATTCTCTTTTATTTTTCCTTTTTCTTCTCCTTAAGAAGATGTATTCAATTAAACTAAAACTTAATGTGGGTATAAAGCTGTCTGGTTCAAGCATGCCACTCCAAGATTCTCTTTTTTGATTTGGGTAGCATTGCGTGACAGTATCTCGACTGGTAGCAGAATGATGCAATGGAGTGCTAATATTGACACTGCTTGTATCTTATGCAATGATCCGATGGAAACTGTTAGTCACCTTTTCTTTGATTGCTTGTTTTCTAAACAAGTCTGGATGAATCTGGCAAAAGATGTGATGAAGGAACAATATACTTTTGTCTGGTTGGAGATAGTTAGGATTATTACAGATGATGATCTGAACTATCTTCAACTCTTTACGATAAAGTATCTCTTTCAAGCAACAGTTCACTTTATTTGGAGGGAGAGGAACAGAAGGAAGCATGGTGAGATTGCTTCTCCGCCTGCTCTATTAACAAAACTGGTCGATAAGACTATAAAAAACATGTTTACAATTGTTCAGAAGAGATAAGAAGCTGGAAGCAGGGCTTCAATATTGGTTCTCTACGAGATAATGGGATTGAAGATTGGTTATGGTTCATGTGTGGTTCAGTAGGAGTGAGAGCTGGAACCCAATAGATGTGAGGGCTGAGTATAACATGGAAGATGAGAATGGAGACCAGTAGGAGCGAGGGCTGGGTGTCTGGTAGGAATGAGTGCTAGAAATAATTTGAAAAGGGTGGAGCATGTTTTGAGAAGGGTTGGAAGAATTGAAGAGCTTTCTATTTGTCTTATTTAAATCTTGTTTTTAGAAAGTTAAGAAATGACAAATTTTTTAACAAGGTTTTCTCTTTTTTAATTAAATTTAACATTCAATTAAAAAAATAAAAATGAAAAAAAAATAATGTGGGATTTCTAACATTATTAAAAAGTTAAGCTCGAGAAAAAACTAGAAGAATAAAATTTTAGGAAGAAGAATATAAGAGAGAAGACAGTGGATCTCACTATTTGGGATCTAACTTTGTAATCTCAAATGGTTTGAGACTTTTGAGTTTTAGTTAGTAATACTTAACAGTAGTTGAAATTGTCCTGAGCGAAATATATATGATCCAAGGTATAAATCTTTCTTTAAATAAAGCAAGTCAATATGTTAAAGTTGCAAGACATTACTGGAAACCTATATAAACTTGAGGATGTCTTTTGCAAAGGAAAAAGTTATCCTAAAGTTTTGTGTAAAATGGTAAAACGAAGATGACACAGTAAGTGGATTCGAATAACAAAATCCTAAAACCCTAACATTTTTTTATTCGAAACCACAGCCTTCTCTCTCTCCATCACGATTCAATGTTCATCAAATCCTTTGTCATAAAGAGAAAATTCTCCAATCTCAAAGATGTTTTCCCGAGAAAATTCTCCAATCTTAGCACACTCTGTCCTTCTTCAGCTACCATCACCAAAAGCCCTTGTCCACTTGACGTAGCTGTAATCTCCGATCTCATAGAGAAACAGCACTGGTCAAACCTCAAACTTCAAGTCAAAGACACAAACCCCAACGAACTCTTCCACCAGTTGATAAGTTCTAACCTTGACCCAGAGTTATGTCTCCGTTACTACACCTGGTTAGTAAACAACAACCGTAACATCTCCTTTTCGCTAGACCTCACCTTTAACCTCTTACACTCTCTCGCAAACGCGAAACGCTACTCAAAGATCCGATCTTTCCTCGACGCGTTTGTCAAAAAACATCATCCAGTTCACTCGATCTTCCACTCGATTTCCTTATGTGACAACGTCTGCGTCAATTCGATTCTCGCTGACATGTTGGTGTTAGCTTACGCTAACAATGCTAGATCCGAGTTAGCGTTAGAGGCGTTTAAGCGTGCAGGCTATTATAATTATAAGTTATCTTCTTTGTCTGTTAAGCCTTTGATGATTGCGTTGCTGAATGAGAAGAGGTTTGCTGATGTTGAGTTTGTGTATAAAGAGATGATTAGGAGGAGGATTCAACCAAATGTGTTCACTTTCAATGTTGTGATCAACTCTTTCTGCAAGACAGGGAAGATGAATAAAGCTAAGGATGTTATGGAGGATATGAAAGTATATGGGATTTCTCCTAATGTTGTTAGTTACAATACTATTATTGATGGGTATTGTAAGCTTGGTGGGATTGGTAAGATGTATAAAGCGGATGGGGTTTTGAAGGAGATGGTGGAGAGTAAAGTGTCTCCGAATTTGACTACTTTTAATATTTTGATTGATGGGTTTTGGAAAGATGGGAATTATTTAGGGAGTGTGAAGGTGTTTAAGGAGATGTTGGAACAAGATGTGAGACCTAATGTGGTTACTTATAATTCGTTGATTAATGGTTTGTGTAGTGGAGGGAAGATAAAGGAAGCTATTTGTATGCGTGACAAAATGGTGAGTGCAGGTGTGGAGCCTAACTTGATTACTTACAACTCTCTTATAAATGGGTTTTGTAAGAACGGTATGATGAAGGAGGCTCTTGATATGTTTGAGTCTTTAAAAGGGAGAGGTGTTTTCCCCACTGCTCAAACGTATAACATGCTGATTGATGCGTATTGTAAGTCAGGGAAAATGGAAGATGGGTTTGGATTGAAAGAAGAGATGGAACGAGAAGGGATTGTAGCGAACGTTGAAACTTATAACTGTTTGATTGGTGGTTTGTGTAGAAACGGTAACGTAGAAGGAGCTAAGAAGCTTTTTGATCAGTTGAGTAGTAAAGGGCTTACTGATCTTGTGACGTATCACATACTCATGGATGGGTATTGCAGCAGAGGAGAGTCGAGAAAAGCAGCTATGCTTTTGAGAGAAGGGGTATCAAAGATGGGTCTGAAGCCGAGGCATCTGACTTATAACATTCTGATGGAAGGCTACTGTAAAGAAGGGAATCTGAAAGGAGCAGCGAATGTGAGGACGCAGATGGAGAAAGCGAGACGGTTGCGGATGAACGTTGCATCGTATAATGTGCTTCTACAAGGATATTCTCAGAAGGGAAAGATGGAGGATGCTAACAAGCTTTTGAATGAGATGCTGGAGAAAGGTTTGGTCCCGAACCGGATAACCTATGAGATAGTTAAAGCGGAAATGGTAGATAAAGGTTTTGTTCCAGACATTGAAGGGCATCTATTTAACGTCTCCACTAAATCATAACCTTTCAATGATCTGGCATGAGAAGCAATCCCCTGCCTTGTGGCCTTGTTAGGTCACCATACTCAAATTCTCTCTCTCATGGAAAACAGTGTCCCACTATAAGTACTCAATCAAATACCTAAGAAGAGACAGTGACAGTAGGTGACACCATACCCTGCAGAATCTTTGTTCTAGCATAAACAAGGGCTCAGGTCTTTCATGTTCAATTTTGAAACTGAGAGAAAGTTATTGTAATTTTGATGTGTTGGCTGACCTTTATCCATGTAATAGTGAGACATATAATCCAAACGTTGATCAACAAAACGCATTGCATTACCAAAGTTTTTAAGATTAAAACATCAAAGTGGGTGACTCAGCCAGTTGCTGAACCACCTAACATTCACAAAAGACACACTTTTGCAAAGTGACAAATGGATCATACAAGGGTCATAGATGAAAAAACAAAGATTAAAACTTTAAACACGACCTTGCCAAAGACAATCTTGCTGAACCTTCTCAGTTCTCAAAACCCTCTCAATTTCATTAGGAGGATTCATCCCTAAACGCAATGCACGTTCCCATCGATCAAGCCTCGTCATACCCACGCACGGACCATAAGCCATGTTCATGTCAAACTGCCTCAGCATCTCCTCCTTATCGCCATAATCCTCTGTAACACACCACATGAGATTAATCAAGTTTCGAATCGGATCCTAAATCTCATTTGAGGATTAAAGCTAAAACCCTAGATTTGTTCATAAGGAAGCAAAACCCTAAGCAGGTATAAAATAGAAAGAAGTGAAACCGTACCTTTCACATCGAGGGAGCCGTGAGAAATCAACGCCGCCGGCTGCGTAGCGTCGGAACCGTGTGTGGCTGCGTGTTTGGGAGAGACTTTACGGGAAGAAGGCTTTGACTTGGAGATACCTCCGGTGATGTTGCTTTTCGTCTGCTTGTAGAAACCCTTCATATTCTTCGCCTTCGTCGCCATATCCTCTTTGTTTCTTTCTCTCTCTCTCTCTATGCAGTTCAAATTTTGAATCTTTGGAATTAACTTTCCTTTTGCTTCTTCGAGACGATTCAGAGAGAGATGGTGACTTTTTATCAATCTCGGTGTTGTAAATAAATCGGCCCATTAGTTATAATGGGCTTATATCTTATCCCAATAAATTTATATGGGTTTGTTCTTAGCCCAACTAACGATCTTTTATGCTTTCAGTTTTAATTTGAGAAATTCTGCATGATAAACCTATAAAAAATATTTTATCACAAATATAAACGTTAAAAATAGAAATGATTAAAATAGACTTAAATTTTTATCAAAAATAAATAAATATATTTTATATCTTTTAGATTAATTAATCGGCATTTTGTTTAGAGTTGAAGAGTGGAGTTTTGAGGATATAATTTAAAAATAAAATAAAACTTAAAATTTTCAAAAAAAAAAATGTTATTTTAATTATTTTAGTTTTTAAGATATATTTTTGTGATAATAATTAAAAAAAAATTATTTGAGAGGATTGTCCTTTTAATTTTGGTTGAGAAATGATTTATCCCAAACTTAATTAAATTATTTAGCGATATAGTGAAGCTAACAAAAAGAATAGCACAGACAAAATATTAGCAAACTCAAATGTACATTGAATTATTATCACATGTCGAATCTATCTACGCATGAAGAAAATAAAACTCGTGGCTTTTAACTATAATATATTACCAGCAGGTCACACTAATCTACTGATCATGAGTTAGAAATAAACACAAGATGGTATTAATAATTTAGAGGTGGAGAGGCCAACGAATGCCTTCTCTTCCACAAGGTAAAGGAGCCGGCAAAGCTATGTGCGACGGCATCTTCTCTCCCGGCATCACCACCGATACATCCACCGACATACTCAACGGAACCTATACCACACACGTCATATTCTTTCTAATTAATGTCACAAAACAATTGATGCTTTAGACAAAAATAAATATGTATATACGAATAAGACAACTTGAAGACAAAACTTTTGCTTTCACTTTCCAAAGTTTGGTTGTTTTTCTATTTATTTTGAAGAATGTTTTTATTTCCAAAGATTTTTGCACCGAAAAGCAAAACAATTTTATTTTGCAAAGGAAAAAGAAATAACTAGTCTTAAACAGTGGCAAGTTAATGCGGTTCAGCTTTATTAAATAAAGGGACAAACATTCTTTTTAAAAAAAATACTTTAACAACTTTTTTTTGTTTTTTGTTTATTACCATGGATGCTTGATTAGCAAGTTTCTGGAATTGAGTGGACCCATCTATGCTCTGGTTCTGTCGTTGTCTGATCCTATGTGGTGACTCATATGTAGAATTCTCAGGTCTGAATAGATGCTCGAAGATGGCCATTAACAAGAACATGGAGATAAGTATCGCCGTAGCTACGAACCCGAAAGAGATCGCATTCATTGACGTGGACGATCTCCATGGCCCTTCACTCTCTCCATCTTTGGGACTGTAGATGCTCCATGAACTTGACTCGTTCATTTTCTCCTGTGTGGCATGCGAGCTTTGAGCCTTCTTTGGTTCTGAAGTTGATGGGATTCTCTTGGAGTAGAGAATTGAGATCAAAGATATTATGGGAAATTAAATTAAACAAAAAGAGAGGAATCTTTCACAAGAGCAAACTCAAAACTCTAGATCAAAAGCAAAACCAACGTTAAAAATGATAATAAACAATTATAAAGAACTAGAAAAGTTGAGAAGCTTGAGCTACTTTCACGTAACAGTGTCAGTTTTATTGGCGTGTGTGAATGAAAAGCAGAGCATAGAAGAAGAAACAAATCACACTCTGTTTATGTGTGTTAATGGGCTGTGTATATATATATTGTTACAAAAGGGAGTATATATAAAAGTCTATTTATATTTTTATTATGTTCCTATAAAGTATGAGAATAAACAATTAACAGAGAGTTAGTGGTGATAATGGTCCCTAACTAGTAGGAGCAGACATAAAAATCATGGTCTCTGGATCCTATATATTCCTCTGATCTCATCCTCTCTACTCTCTTTTGTTAAAACTAACAACTTCACACTGCTTACTTTTTTCTAATTTATTTTTATTCTCTGACTAGTTTAGTGTAATAATTTTGTTAATATCTATGTCCCATATTTGTTAGGAATCTCAGTGAATAGTATAAGATGAGACATGGTATATAAGTAGGTTATTGGGGTGGATGCTTTCCGTTTCATTTAAGCTCGTCCCTTCAAAGAAAACAAGTGTTTCAAAAAAAAGTTTAAAGCTCGTCCTGTTAAACATAGTCAAGTAGAAAACTGAAAGCTGATAACATCAGTGACTAAAGTTTTAGGCGGTGCAATTGGAGATGTTATTATTGACTATAAAGAAGACAATGTGTTGAAAACCAAAGGTTCAAATCTAAACAGATTTTTTCTCAAGGAACTAGGATTTATAGTAGCATCCATATCGACAACCCTCTAATTGATAGTTTCAAATTTTCAATGTACCTTATACGCTTTTCTTTATAAAAGTGATTTGTTACTTCTTTTTATTCACCGATTCTTTACTTGACAAACCTTGTGAAATTGAGTTGTACATGAAAAAAGGATTACGAATATTAGATAGCATAATACAATGTAAAGAAAAAGCTATTGTTTTTTATCTAGAAATTGTTAAAATACATATTTTGAATACATATTCGTTGTCTACTTTTAGTAGCTTTTTTTTTTTTAAAACAACTTTTAGTAGCTATCTTTATCCACGACCAAAGAAAAAACAACAATACAAAAAATATAAATCAACAATAATAATTGAAGATGGGGCCATCGTGTTATCACAGACGAACAACAAAGAGAATCGATTGGCTGCTTAAAATTGTTTACCCTTAAGTCTGGTGAAGTAGTTATCATAATAAGATTTCAATTAGGTATCCTAACCAAGGAAACAATGATGGATAATAATTAAACCCACTTTTAATTAGCTTTATATGAATACGGGTAATTTATTCGGCTCCTTATTTGTTAATTAAGTGGTTCTATTTGAGCTAGAAAATAGAAAGAGTTTAAGAGTAGTTAAGTTAATTCGCAATATTACAAATTTTAAAATAAAAGAAATTATTTTTATCATTTTATTTTTATAACAAAAACTTAAAAGTAATTATTTTAGAGAATTACCCTTATAAAAGTTCCTAAACGCTAACCGGCCGCGCGGATGTTCAAATAATATGTACTCATTAGCAGGATCGGTTCTGAGGCATACCTAATGAAACATTTGCCTCAGGCCCCCAAATATTTTGAAGAAAATTACATGAGTATAGGTCCCCAAAATTTTTTTTTAGGCTCCCAAAATTTTTTTTACATAGAAATCGCCATAGGCCCCCAAAATCTCAGGGCCGGCCCTGCTCATTAGCACTGTCATGATTCATCTATGTTACGGGCAAACTTCCATGTCAATAATCTTTATGTCAAGTAAGCTCAATAATAATGCAAACCCTAGCTAAAGTTCTTTTTTTTGGCGTCTGCAACCTAAATTTTGAATTAAAGAACAAGTGCAAACAACTAATTTCGTAATACCATACAAACTACAAAGGAAATCAAGAGAATTTGCTCTTAAAAACTAGGGAAATTGTGAACAATACCACTTTCTTCATACCACATTTTATCTGTACCTTAACCATCTTTACCATCAAAACTTTAATTGAAAAAAGACCTTTATGCCCTAAATAATTAAACATACCTAATCTACAATTCCGTAGAAAACTTGGCGATCCCAATCGAATCGAGTTCAGCGGCGGATGCGTCGACTGGGGAGAAGCTCGGATTCTACCATCGGTGACGGCGGAGGATCAGCCTACAGCCATGGCTAAAGTGCGGGAAGCTTGCGAGCTTCTCATCGATGACGACGACAACGAGGGTGTTTCAGATGAGGATAACACGAGATGGATCAATTCTTCCTCCGTGGTAGAAGCTAAGGTCGATGGAGGTAGGCTCTGCGCGACGGTGGAGGAGATGGGGAACGAGTTCGATGGTGGTGGTTTCGTGGATCAGAGTCTCAGAGTTTGTGATGTTATCAGACGTCATTTTTATGTTAACAGTGAGAATATATCCTTTTTCTCTGCTTTTTGAGAAAACTGTATTGCAAGTCTCTCTCAACAGTAGCTTTTGTTTTTTTGTTGTGTGTTATTTGTTTGCTTATACCTTTCTCTCTCTGTGTGTATTTCTCAGGTTTGTTGAGGAGATGGAGAGGACGGTGAGGAGAGGTGGGGTTTGTGTTGTGGCGGTTGAGGAGTGTGGTGGGGAGGGTGTTAGGGAGGTTGCTGCGCCTTTTTTTGAGGTCTAAGGTTGTTGATGTTGTTAATGTTACGTTGGAAGGGTTGAAAAAGACTAGTTTAGTACTTAAAGTTACATGACTCTGTTTTGTGTTATCAATGTTTTGGTTTTTATCTATCCTTGTGTACATGACTCTGTTTTGTCTTATCAATATTTGGTTCATTCCCGGTGGTATATAAGGTAGAAAGTGAACTTAAGTTTTGATTGGTTGGAGAAGAAGATGAGTGACTTGACATAGAAGGATAACGAAGGGAAAGATTCGAGGCAAAGATTGATGAGGCAACAGTAGCTTTGTCTTTTGTTACTTCATTCACAAGCCAAAGTATCCATCTTTATAACCACACTCCTTACAAAGTTTCAAGCTTTATCTTCTCTTACTTCATCCCCAAGCCAAAGCATCAATCTTTCTTTTTTTCCACTATTGACAGAGTGTGTTTAGTCCCTTGTGAAATTCACGTGTTTGAATAATCTCAGGAATTTCTTATTTGTCTAGACGACAAGAGGAAGAGGCGAGTAAGCGTTTTGAAATGCTATACGACGATGAGGAAGGTAAGGTTGAAACAGGGGATTTCAAGGTGGTGAGATTGGCGGATGTTCTTTTTGCTGAAAGGATGAAGAAGAAGCTTAGTTAGTGGTGGTCTGAGCTCTTACATGGTGTGAATGCATCTTCTTTGATCTCAAATGGGTCGACACAGAGTGCTGAAACTGTGTTCTATCACATGCGTCCAGCTCTCAGTCTGAAGGGTTTCACTTCTCACTAGCTC